ACAGGAAACACTTCTTTGCACAAAGGGTGGTGGCTGTCTGGACCAAGCTGCCCAGCGGTGTGTTTGAAAGCTTCCAGAACTGGCTGGATGCCGAAATTCTCTGTTCAGTCAGGTGCTAAGAAGAAACCGACTCCTCTTATATGTAACAATATGTTCATGGTGTGCTGATAATTAAGAACTCACCAAAATTAGCAAACTTTTTTCACCAATCTTGAATACATAGTGTTATGTTGATTAATGATACCAAATGCAGTGCTTAAGAGTAATTTAAATATAATTTTATTCTACATATTTAGGCTTTTCTACACTGTTCTATCTCTGTTCTCTTCATTAAGGATTCTGGACTTTCAGCTTTCAGTGTTAATGGTGTATCATGTACAAAGTGTGGTGTCCAGTCAGCTGGTGTCCAGTATGGATGGTTTATAATGTGAACTATATGGTGTCCAGTCCGCTGGAGTTCAGTATGGATGGTTTATACTGTATACAGTATGGTGTCCAGTCAGCTGGTGTCCAGAGGTGAATGATGATTTTTCTATTCACAGAGAGAAAAGGAATTTTAACCAGTACCTCATAGCCTTCCTCCCTAACAGAAGAATAAATTAGACAAACTTTTCTATAGTAAATACTATTATTTCTCCAGCATGTGTCTCTTATGTATGCCTATATATATTTCTTAATAAATTGCATTAGTTGTAATAATTAATTTCGGATATTTTTTGTCTCTTTATTTCTCCACTAGGTGGCAGTGTAGTACAATCTCAGCCCTGCTCAAGCTCCAAAACCACAGCATGATTTTAACTAGAAAGGAAAAACACTTTTATTCAGCAGAACAGAGCTCAAACAGCACCCTTCCTAAATACTTCATACAACCTTTTGGGAAAATGGAAAAACACAAAGGTCACATGAAGAAGATATAGTCCAGTTTTACAGACAGTTCAGTTTTATGACACAGTACATAAGACAATAAGAAAGGTAGCTGGTCACATGAAGAACATATAGTCCAGTTTTACAGACAGTTCAGTTTTATGACACAGTACATAAGACAATAAGAAAGGTAGCTCCCTGAAGCTGCTCCCCCTACAAGCAGCACAAAAAATGAAACCCAACGCATTCATTAGTGAAGTGGATGACATTCAGTCCCATCCAGACTGTTCAGTCATTAGCAGCTAATTGATCTGAGGATGTCATCCAGCTGTTTCTTGAAGGACACAAAACCTGGGTATGAGCTTCAACCGCATGACTGTGCAGCTTGTTCCACACTCCCACCACCCTTTGTGTAAAGAAGTGCCTCGTGTTCTTGGTCTTCGATATCATGGTGCTATCAAAACAGATTTCAGAGGATCTAAGAGACAGCAGTTGATGCTCATCAGTCTGTGAGGCCTGGTGGAGGTAATGTGATAAATAGCCATCTCTGTTACTGGCTCTCTCATCTCTGCAGATGATGTACCATATGTAATGATGGAAGTGGCCAGTGATCCGTCATTCTGCCACAATGAAAATCATCAAACCC